TAAGGGATATTCAAAGAAGGCCGCTCCCCTCACTGATTTGCTAAAGAAAGACCACAAATGGCATTGGTCCATTAATTGTCAAGAGGCCTTTGACAAACTGAAAAGTGCAGTGGCAAGTGAACCGGTCTTGCAACTGCCTAATTTCGAGTTGCCTTTCGAAGTACACACGGATGCCTTAGACAAAGCACTCGGAGGAGTACTGGTGCAGGAAGGACACCCAGTGGCCTTTGAAAGCAGGAAACTAAACGCTGCTGAGAAGAATTATTCAGCCCATGAGAAGGAAATGACGGCAGTTGTGCATTGCCTACTCACTTGGAGGGTCTATCGGTTGGGATCGAAGTTTTTGGTTCTTACTGATAATGTGGCTAATACATTCTTCAAAACTCAGAAAAAGTTGTCTCCAAGACAGGCCCGTTGGCAGGAATTCCTTGAAGAATATGGCTTTGAATGGCGACACAAGCCTGGACGACATAACCTAGTTGCTGATGCCTTAAGCCGGAAAGAGATAATTGAATATGTGGCTGCTATCTCCAACATTGAATCACAATTGCTGGAAAGGATCAGGGATAGTGCTGCCATTGACTCAGAATATCAACGGTTGGCACAGCAAGTAAAGGATGGAATTGCTCGTCGGTATTAGCTCGAAGATGGTCTTCTCCATGGCAAAGGAGATAGGCTATATGTCCCAAGTGTTGGGGGACTACGAATGGAACTTCTTAGAGAAACACGCGACCCGCAGTGGGCTGGTCATCCGGGGCAACAACGCATGATGGCTCTTTTGTCGCGTTCATATGTTTGGCCAAAACTGGAAAAAGACGTAGAGGCTTATGTCAAAACATGCATGGTGTGCCAATTGGACAAGACCGAAAGAAAGAAAGCAGCTGGGTTATTACAACCACTACCTGTCCCTGAGAAGCCTTAGGTTTCCATATCCATGGACTTTATCTCCGGATTTCCCAAAATCAATGGGATGCGCTCCATCATGGTAATTGTTGACCGTTTCTCTAAGTATGCTGTTTTTATCCCTGCTCCTCATGCTTGTCCCTCGGACGTTGCTGCTGATATATTTTATAAGTATGTTGTAAAATATTTTGGCTTACCTGAGGACATAATAAGCGACAGGGATACCCGGTTTACGGGAAGGTTTTGGACTGTGCTCTTTAATTTGCTGGGTTCCGAATTAAAGTTCTCCACAGCAAATCACCCTCAGACGGATGGTCAGACCGAGAGGATGAATGGATTGCTAGAGGAGTATCTCCGACATTATGTGACCGCAAGTCAAAAGAATTGGGTCGAATTGTTGGACCACGCACAGTTTTGCTACAATCTGCATAGATCATCTGCAACCGGGATGAGCCCGTTTGAATTGGCCACGGGGCAGCAACCCCTAACTCCTCACGAAGTGGCTAAAACAGGCTCTGGTGGTAGATGTCCAGCAGCATACCGCTTTGCAAGGACCAAACTAGAATTGTTGGAAGAAGCACAAGACAGTTTGGCCAAAGCAAGCAAGCGAATGAAGAAGTATGCTGACAAAGGGCGAAGACCCTTAGAGTTCAAAGTGGGTGACAAAGTGCTACTGAAGCTTACTCCACAGATCTAGAAGAAGATAAGCAGTAAGACAGTGCACCGTGGCTTAATTCCGAAATATGATGGCCCCTTTGAAGTCTTAAAACGCGTGGGCAATGTTGCATACAGGCTAGTGCTGCCTGATCGGTTGAAAATCCACCCAACTTTCCATGTTAGTTTTTTGAAACCATTTCATGAGGATCAAACAAACTTGACAAGGAAACAAGCTCGGAGAGCACCCCCGATGATCAGAAAACAGTTTGACAAGGCGGTGGAACAGATTCTTGATCACAAGACCGAGGGTCAAAGCAAAAAGAATCGAAGGACCCATTACTTAGCAAAGTGGAAGGGTTCCCCCGAATCAGATGCAAGTTGGGAAAAGGACATAACATTGTGGCAATTTGGAAAACAAGTCCAGGAGTACTTGAAGACCCTACCAACGAGGACGTTGGCTTCTTCTGGTGGGGGTGGTTTGTTAGCACCTTCTACTTGAAGGCTGCATGGTTGACATTGGCAGCACCTTGCACCAATGTCCAACCAAGACCACGGCATGATGATGGCATGCCAAAACAGCAAGGTGAAACATTGATGAAGTGCTGAGGCAGCAGCACAGGACCCTTGGCCAAAGTATGGGCAGCAGTGGCACAAATGCAAGGCATTAACATGACCCAAATGTGGGCTGCGGCATACTTGGGGGTTCAAAGCATTCAGTAGGCAAAACTTGGTCTGGGGGCCAAGACAACCAAATTCGTGGCTGACTGAGAAGGCAAACAACATGGGCAGTTTAAGGCAGTTATGCTTGTCTGGCAGCAGTTACCCATGTTGAGCAAAAGACAAGGCAAGTTTGGACACTTGGAATCAAGGCAGGGAGTTAACAGCAGTTACTAGCAGTTATGTCCCAGAAATGATCCTAAGTCCCTAGGCAGTTGGGGGTGTCAACTGCCATGCCACTTGGCATGCTTTCCTTATAATGCTAGTTGTAAGCTTGTAACTGATTGTAAGCCTATTTAGGCATAAGCCATGGAACTCGAAAATTAACTAAGTGTTGGTAAGAGTTTCCATAGGCACCCTTTGTATTGTTGGTGCAATTAATAAAGGTTGGGGTTTTCCTGTAATCTCTTGTTGCCTATTCTCTTATTTGTTATAGCACTTTGTGTGTGTGTGTGTGTATTCATACTTGGCTAAGACTAAGGATTGGTTTGGGATGTTCTAAAAAAGTGCACTTTTTGACTTATTGGCTTATATGGGTTGGGTTGGGTTTGGGTTAGGTTTGATGTGATGTGTTAGAGAGGTGATGTGATTTAAATAAGATGATGTGACTTAAATAGGATAGTGACTTTTTGACTTTTTGTATTATTTAGTTTATACCAAACCAACCCTAAGTGTCCAACTTAGTGCCATTGCAGGCTGGAATTTTGAAATAAAAATTGGCCCTGTAAGATAATAGCTTTTTGAGGGGCATTTCCCTAAATAAGCTAAAATAATAAATCAATTCCCAAACTAAGCCTAGTTTTGAAAGAATTCCCAAAATAAGCTAACTCGCGGTTCACAATCGCGATTTCAACATATTTGCACCTATCTCGCGTGAAAGTTGGTAAATCTTAAATTCATGGTTACAAAAAGCGCTTTTGATTAAGAAATCGCGGTTACAAAACGCGATTTTAATTAATTTTTTTTTCTTCTGAACTCGCTGTTCTGAACCACGATTTTATCCAAAAAAAAATTTCTTCTGAACTCGCTGTTCCTAACCACAATTTTATGAAAAAAAAAATTTCTCCTGAACTCGCTGTTTCGAATCACGCTTTTAGACCAAAAACTTTTTCTGCTGAAATCGTGGTTGTGAACCACGATTTCAATACTGATTTGCCAAGACCAACTGATGGCTAATGTAAAGTATACACAGTTGGACTAATAAAGCTATTTCATAAAAAAAAAAATAAAAAAATAAAAAAATCTAACAAATAAATTTCTAAAAATAAAAATAAAAATAAAATTCTAAAAATTTACCCTACCTTAGTGTTTAGGGATAAAATTTATTTTTTTATTTTACTAAAATAAAAATTAATAAATTTTAAGAATTAAACCCTAAACCTTAAAATAAAAAAAATAAAATTTATCCGTAAACACTAAGGTAGCGTTTGGTAACGTTTACGTTTTTTGTTTATATTTATGAAAATTTTATAAACTAGTTTTTATTTATTTTTAGAAAAACATAAATTACAAAAACCTTTGTACTTGGATAGCCTCTTTGACCTTATTGTCCTTCTATTGGGTCATCTTAAGCCATTCTCTTAACCTATATCATTCCTTATTTCCAGTTCACGGACTTGGGTTACAGGACCGTGACAGGCACCAACGGCGTTGCCACTCGAATACAAAGCATCTAGCCTTTCACATACCCCATCACCCCAACATGGAAAACCGCTCGTGCAATGTGCCAACATGGGAGACTGTCATGCCCAAAGCACAAAATAGTAGTGTGGAAGCAATCTTAGCCGATCTAATGACCACCTCTACAAGGAAGATATTCAAGGAATTTATGGTTAAGTGGAAAGGGCCCGACTATGATGAAATTAGTTGGGAGTGTGAAGCGAAGTCCCTAATATTAAGCATATAAGCATGAGGCCACCCTCATCTTAAGTGCTTAGAGCTAGATTTTGGGGTGTGTTCTATCCAAGACCATCATGTTACATGGTATCAGAGCCGAAGTATTCAGGGATGGGTAGGGTGCGTGTTAATGTAAATGTAAATCACCTACTACACTCCACCAAACCTACCTCCACCACTCACTCCTATCACCTACTACACTCCACCAAACCTACCTCCACCACTCACTAACCCAAACCCTCTCCTATATAATGCCACTCTGATTTGTAATAATATATATCAATACAACAATCTTGTAATACACAAATCAATCAATAATATACATCAATTTATTTTACAGTGCGTGTCCTTGGCCTGCACGCTGCAGCAGGTGCTGCCGAGTGAGCACATTGGACGTGATGAAGGGTGTGAAGCGAAGTCCCACATCGCCCGAATACTAAAATAATATTAAGCATATAAGCGTGAGGGCACCCTCACCTTAAGAGCTAGCTTTTGGGGTGAGTTCTACCCAATAACGTGTAACAGGGAGAAGGCATTAAACTTGATGGGGAATGAAGTTATTATAGATACAATTCTTACAGAAAAGTTCATCCAAATCAAAACAGTGGACTACATGAATGCTACAAAAAATTAGTCATAAATTTGCCATAACATTAAATGCCAAAATAAATATATGCAAGATCAAGCTAATGCACATCAATTACATATGCAAAGGTACACCTTTAAGCAATTAATAGGCCTGTTTACAGTGATAAATGCATGTCTTCTAGCCCTTGGAGATTAACCTAATACTTCTGTAACAACTAGGGACAAAACATTTTACATACCTGAATAGAAGATCCAATAATAGTGATGGCTGATGCAGGACCATTCAACTCTTTCTCCAACCATGTCCATTGCGAATTCCCCAAAATACTTCCATCACTAAACAAAGGGTCTCTGTGGTACCTGGTATCTAGGAGAATAACCTGAAGAAGTTTATAACCCATAATTAGAACAAGGTATGCCTTTAGGTCTCACCTATATGCACATACTGCAGTTTTCTAATTGAGGTGGGCATGGAACACAAAAATGGATTTTCCAAGAGCAACATACTGATTATAATTAGGATACCAAACATATCGACAATTATAATGAACAGGATGCATCTCTAGAACAATTCAACTTTAAATGAAAAGAAGTAACAGCAAAAGTTGCTAAAAATTATTCAGATTCAACCTTGACTTGTCTTCCTGCAGGGCCAAATGTGTATGATGCATAAACACCAGCCTGCTTGCGCCTGCAACAACAGACATGAGAGAAATTCAGCAGCTGCATTGCACCCATGCAAAGAAATCAACTCTTGCTACTTCTTTTTGCAAGGCAACCGTTAGTGTTAGCAGGTCAAGAAAATTAGTTTCTCCCTGCTTACAAACTTGCATAATTTGAAAATAATATGCACTACCCTTAAGCAGATTGTTTTAAAAAAAATAAAACATTAAAAATATAAAAGTATAGACAGCAATAACTCTGAATTGTGATTTTTTCCTCACCGTGGGCTATCTTGAGGTTCATCCAAGAAATCCAGCATAAGCCTTTGGTTGGTAATTTTCCCATCAAATTCTTTTCCTGCATCATTTAATCCATAGTCATGGTCATCCCATGTGCCAATTACCTACGTCATTCATACATAACTAGGTCAGGAGACTTTATCTAAAACTGTGAAGAGAATGTACGAGTGCCACAATCAATAAATGCTTACCAGACTCTCCATAAAGGTATCATTCAAAAAATTGGCAGGTATAATAATATAGTAAAGCATAAGTTTGAGTGAAGCACCTTCACATTCTCTCGAAGATGATTGTACCCATCATTCCTCTTAGCCTTATCATATCTGGCCTGCATTTCATGCTCAGAGGAAGGAATGAATCTTGGAACATTCTTCCAGGGCCCAATCGTCCTTTCCTTGCCAAATAACTTCAAAGGGCGCCTAATGTCCCCATAGATGTTGTCACCCAGCCAGATAAAAATTTGAGGATCAAAGTCTATAATTGCATTCCATATAGGCTGCAGACAACCACTAATTTTCAGTGAACTTGAAAAAGGATTTTGTTATCCATTAAATATGTTATAACTAAAAATGCCACTTAATCACAATCTACAACATATCTGATACAGATATATATATCTACTACTTTAAAAAGTGGCAGGAATCTGAGTGTTTTCTACATTTCCATATTCCACAAATGCCCATAATAAGGAAAAAGAATTACATAATCAATTTGCCATATGTTGATTCGAATGATTGTGTCTTTTCAATTGCCCCTGCTAACGCTTGGAACAAAAGGAAAATTCAAATAACCAAATCATTTATAACCAGAACATTTATCATTGCGTTTGGAACATTGATAGTCCATTACCAATTTTGTTTCATGTCAGTCTACTTCATATACCGTTGTCTACAAATCCATCGTAGTGAATGAATTCCTCAAAGATTATCATGCCTGCGTCATCTAAATCCGTGACAATCAAGATTTATGGTAACTACTCCTACTTTCTCTTTGATTGATTTTTTTTGTTTGATTTGATGTTCCACTACTTGGGAAGTCTCGACTCTACGTGATAACACCATTAATGTTGGAAGCAATTGATCATGCAACTGCCAGAAATAAAATGGGCATCTTCAACAATCTATCTTTTGGCAATTTGAGAAAAAAATTTATGAGTATTGGGATACATGTACTTACTTGTGATGGGTGCAATTTTGTTTTTAAACTATTAGATGGTTTAATGATTGAGAGTGTTAGAATAGTTCTTTTAGTTATTTTTGTTCTCTTGTTAATATTTACTTAAGTTGAGGGTACGATGGTCATATTGCTACTTTAGGTTTTTTATATATATTTGAGTGATGTAAAGGGAATTAATTAGTTTTCAATACATACAAAAGTTCTCTCTTCTTCTTCTTCCTCCTAACTTTCAACCCTAATTTCTCCATTTTACATTCTCACTTGGTATCAGAGCAATCTCTTCTTCATTAGAAAGGGTTCTACAGATTCTAAAGATCGATTTGAGGTGACCGAGACGTGCTGATGTCACCAGCCGTACGATGACGTCAGCATGACGTAAGCAGTGTACGGACGGGTCCTTTATCCCTAGACTCGAAATTGCCTCCTGAGATTTATGGTGATTTTTGTGGAATTTTTTGATCATCCCTGATGTGAGTTTTCGATTTTTGAAACTATTTCGTGTTTTGGGACTGTTTTTTTTTAATCTGCCTTTGGGACTATTTTTTCCTGGTTTTTCTTGCTGGGCTCACTTCCCTAGGAGCCGAAAATCACCCCTCTACGGGTCCTTGATCTTAATTTGTCGTTTTACTCCTGTTGGGTTGATATTCTGTTCGATTTTTGGCTGTTTCTGGTCCAGTCACCTTGTGTTCTTCGGTTCTACCTATTGAAGGCTCCTATATAAGGGCTGAAACCCTTCTAGCAAGGGATATTTGTCCTCTCTTTATTGATTGCTACTGGTGAGTTGATGTGTTGGTCTCATTTGGGTCCAAACTTGGTTGTTGAGCTAGTTCTGTGTTTATATTGGTGATTGTGGGTGTGGGTATTGGCTGTTTGCAAGTCTGGTTGATCATTATGGTTGAGATTGAGGCTAAGGCTATAACTATGGGTATAGATGATGACATGCCTAAATCTATCACTACAAAGAAATTGAATGGTGCTAATTATTTGGCTTGGGCCCATGCTGTCAAGATTTTCTTACGCAGTAAGAAGAAGTCCCGCTATATTAGTGAACTCCCTCCTCCTACTGATGATAAGGATTATGATGATTGGTGTTGTGAGGATTCTTGTGTGATGGGTTGGATTTGGCACAGTCTAGAACCACAGGTTGCTACTACCGTGGAATTTTGTGATACCTCTAAGGCCATTTGGGACTCCCTTGCTGAGTCTTTTTCAAATCAAAGTAATGTCTCTCGGGTCTACGAGTTATATGAACAGATTTCTGCTATGCGTCAATCTGGCCGGTCTCTCCCTGATTATTATAGTAGTCTCAAGACTTTGTGGGATCAGTTACTGCAGCATCGACCTTTCACTACTGATGTGACCACCCAGAAACAACATTGGGAGGAGTTTATGATGGCTTCTTTACTTTCTGGCTTAGATCTGTCTAACTGAGGGATCACAGATCACCAGTTTCAAACATGGTTAAATTAGTGCGACTTGGAATCCAATTTCAAGTAATGAGAATTCACATTCACAAGCATATCCTTCTATGTGCCACTGAGAATAAGAAAGCACAGAGAGATGAAACACCATGGATAAGGTTTTCTTTGTTTCTTTTTCTTCTTTTCCCCACTATGGAGGAATTCAAGGAATGGTTGCATTCCTTTACAACACTTCAACATTACTGTAGTTTGCAGATAATTTTACTGAAATTGAAACTTTTTTTAAGTTACTTTTGACCAATCACGGAAGTAAGGAGTGGAGTAAATTATCTGCATGGCCCAACTGTGGATAATATGTTTTGCTCATGTTGGTGAAGTAAATTAATAAGTTATACTAGTTCTCCATCAGCTTAAGCCTTTTCAATAATAGACTGCTAAAATGTGACATACTAGATACTATTCATGGAATGTGTGTTAAGCAACCACAAAGGCACAAACTAGCTCCTAAGCAAAAGAAGCCAATACTTGCTGCTAGGCAATTTTGCCACTGCATTTTAACGAATGACGTAAGAGCAATAGGTTGGCAAAGTTGTTCAACAATACCTTCTTCCTCTACTGCTACCATGGCTAGTTCAGGTAATATTGCATGTGTGGCTAAGTCCTCTCAGCCTTGGCTCCTAGACTCTGGTGCTAGTTCTCATGTCTCTGGTAATTCCTCTCTTTTTGATACTCTTAGACCTGTTGATCATACCATTATACTTGCTGATGGATCTTCTCGGCCTGTCTGTGGTCAAGGTCCTCTTCATCCCACTCCATCCATGTCCTTACCTTCTGGTCTTTATGTTCCTAAATTTCCATTTAATTTGCTTTCTGTTAGCCAATTGACTCAAGCTCTCCATTGTTCAATAACCTTTTCTCCTACTTCATGTGTTTTGCAGGACCTCCAGACCAAGAGGATGATTGGTTCGGGGCATGAGAAGGATGGCTTATACTTTTTGGACGCTGAGACGTCTCCTCCTCCATCTGCTGTGTTGAGTGCAGGTGTATCTCCTCTTCAGTGGCATTTTTGCTTGGGTCATCCCTCCTTGGCCAAGCTCAAGTTAGCTGTTCCGGGTTTGAGTCATGTTTCTCAGATTGAGTGTGAAGCCTGTCAATTTGGGAAGCATCATCGTAGTTCTTTTCCTCGTCGTAGTGTTAGTCGTGTGTCTGAGTCTTTTGCTCTTGTCCATACAGATATTTGGGGTCCTTCTAGAACTCCCACTGTTAATGGGTTCTTTTATTTTGTTATTTTTGTGGATGATTACTCTCGGATGACTTGGTTGTTTTTAATGAAACAAAGATCTGATTTGCCTTCCATCATCTCTAAGTTTTATAATAAAATCTTTACTCAATTTGGCAAACGTATTAAGCTATTTCGGTTTGATAATGCCTTAGAATATGTGCAATCTATTGTAACTACCTTTTGTGATGCTCATGGTATTATTCATCAAACTACTTGTTCTCATACATCCCCACAAAATGGTGTTGCAGAACGGAAACACCGCCATTTGCTAGATATTGCTCGCGCCCTGATGTTTAATATGCATGTCCCCAAACAGCTTTGGGGCGATGCTGTTCTCACTGCTTGTTTGCTTATCAATCGCATGCCCTCTAGTGTTGTACACACATCTCCCTATTCTCTATTATATCCCACCACATCTCCTTTTCCCTTGCCTCCTCGCATTTTTGGGTGTGCGGCCTTTGTCCATGTTCTTGACCCTGGGTTGGATAAGTTATCTCCTCGTGCACGCAAGTGTGTGTTCTTAGGTTATTCTCACACTCAAAAAGGGTACCGGTGTTATCATCTTGAGTCTCGTCGCTACTTTGTCAGTGCTGATGTAACGTTTTTTGAGTCTACTCCGTTTTTTTCTTCCTCTGGGCAACAGTTATCTACTGATCTTCTCTCTTCTCGTGAGGGGGAGCCAGCCTCTCTCACTCCTACTCTTCCCTCTTATGCTCCTTCCACATCCACTCCTCTATCCTCTCTCTCTCCTCTCACTTCTACCCCTCCTTTGCAGGTTTATCAACGGTCTCAAGCTCGTCGCATTGTGTCTTATGGCCCGACCAGTTCATCTCCTTCGTCTGAGGCCCCTGTTCCACCTGCTGCTCTACCATCTGATGACCTTCCTATTGCCCTACGCAAAGGTAAACGCACTTGCACTCAACATCCTATTGCTCATTTCGTTTCTTATGATCGCCTCTCTCCTGGTCTTCACTCTTTTGCTTGTAGCTTGTCTAGTATTTCCATTCCTCGCACCTATCTTGAGGCTATGTCCATCGCTAGTTGGAAGTTTGCCATGGATAAGGAAATGCATGCTCTTCATCAAAATCAGACCTGGGACCTTACCCCTCTGCCATCTGGCAAATCTATTGTGGGTTATCGTTGGATTTATACTGTTAAGTATCTTCCTGATGGAACTGTTAAGCGACTTAAGGCTCGCCTGGTAGCTAAAGGCTACACCCAAACCTATTGTGTTGATTACTTGGAGACCTTTTCTCCTGTGGCCCGTCTTAACTCTGTTCGGATTCTTCTCTCTGTTGCAGTTAATCAGTCTTGGCCTTTATATCAACTGGATATCAAGAATGCTTTTCTCCATGGTGATCTCCACGAGGAGGTCTATATGGATCAGCCCCCTGGCTATGTTGTTCCCGACCAAGAGCATCTTGTTTGTCGATTGAGGAAGGCCTTGTATGGTCTTAAGCAGTTCCCTCGTGCCTGGTTTGATCGCTTCAGTGCTGTTGTGCTTGCCTATGGCTTTCACCGTTCCACTTTTGATCACTCTGTTTTTGTTCGCCACTCGTCTACTTGGAGTATTGTTCTTATTGTCTATGTGGATGACATCATCATTTCAGGGAGTGA